AATAACACCTGTTTTACAGGTTAGAACAAGAAGCATACAAAACTACACCCATTTTTATAAATAACGAATTATCATCCCTTTCGAAAATGGCCAATTCAAATTCAATTGAAGACCCGGGGGATTCCCTTACTTCTTTAGCTTAAAAGGTTACGTGCCACTGAACAACAGGAAGTTGGTTTTAATGTCTCACCAGTGAGTATCAAACAGGGTTAACTAATTCACTATTTGCGTCGTTAACAAGGTTAATTTTTGGACCGGATGACTTTTAAAGAGTGTGAAAGTTAGGCCCATAATTAAATAACTGCTTTTGTAGAATTACCTAATGTTCGTTTAAAAAATGCTTAATTCTGTTTGCGAAATGAAATAAGTTAGGGTCATAAAATAATGTCTCTTTGTCTTAAACAGGGTACGGTCAGGTTACTGTAAATATCAAGTCTAATTAAGGTCTCGGTAAAGGAAAACGAGGTGCCCACAGAGAAAAATTCTAGTCGCGCGAGTATTTTCGCTACAAAGGCAAGTTATATATCAAATTAAAGCTAAAAGAATAAATTACCTTATAAAATATTTTATTTCATCGAATTTCAAAAGGCGCTTAAGTTTTTTGCTCTCGAACTCAGAGGTATCGAGTTTACTGCTGAAGCTCCAGCCCTTTCGCGTTGTTAAATATTCACTTTCTTTTTATTGCATCTGATTGACAGATAAAAGACCTAAAAAATGGTGTGAGGAAATTTGCATATGTCTCGTATTAGGGGAATTATTACATTTCAAACTAAAAAGTCGAATCTCGAGCGCGATTTACTCAAAGAAACTGACATAAAATAAGTTACAAAGGGAAATCGGAAAATTCCTCACACTCTTTTTGAGTCTATATCATTATCCATCATATCTGAAAGTTTCAAAGCGATAGCTTAAAACCTGTCCCGACTGGAGGTCGGAGAATTTTGATTTTTGCGTCTGAAATAGAGTGAGAGAAAATCAGCTCTAAAGATTTAGCGCGAGGTCCACGCTTGGCTGGTTAGCTCAGAAAAAGCTCATTTTAGAAGGGTTAAAAAGCACTTTCTGATTTTCTTTTTCTGCCAAAATAAAATTTAGGACCCACTCATGCCAAAAATCCAAAAAAAAACAAAATCGAGCAATGTACTAAAATTTTCATTTACCGAGACCTTAACGCTAAACAAAACAAACCAACTTTCGTCTCTTTCTTACTATTTGTTGGTTGTCGCGAAAGGACACGCCATTTTGACGCCCGTACTAAAACAGTCGGTGTATAGCTAGGCACAGTTTCGAGTTACGGGCGCCAATCAAAACATGCGAAAATTGCTAGCCCCTGAAAATGGCTAAACATCTACCCCTCCTCAGGGTCGGTGTATAGCGCTAATAAGACTCGATCGACGCTCATTGCGTCGCGGTTTATCTCAACCATTATTTACCGCCTCTTGGGAAGATAGTTGTGCACCAGTTCACTACGGAATAAAATAAAATGGCGGAAGTAGGTAAGTAAGTAACAGCTTCATTAATGTGTCAATGTAATTAGTTTTCACAACTAATTGGGGACACAACAAAATAGTCAAAATTATTTACGAACAAGAAATAAAGAATATAATACAATCAAAATATGTAGCATGTATAAATTGAACAATAAAACAAAAGGTACAATGTATATAAAAGGTAGTCTGTAAGAATTGTAAAGGTTTCAGCAGTTATTGCTGCTCTTTAAGAGTGACAGGTCTTTTTCCTAATTAATGTTCTTTTTAAAAGATTCAGTATTCGAGGAACCTTTCAATTTATTATCTAGTTTCGACCACATACGAGGTCCTTGATATCTTAGAGAATGTTTTTCATAGTTAATAGTGTTAAAAGTAGGGATATCAAAACCACTGTTTCTTAGTGAATAACTAGTGTTCTTCTGATTAAATAGTTCGTTAACAATACGCGGCGGGAGGCCATATTTTACTTTGAACATTAACATAGCAATATCTTGCAGTCTTGGATAAGTATTGAAGGTAGCTCTGCGGGAACCAAAAGGATTTCGTATGATTAAGAATGGAAGTTAAATACTGCTCTATGTGCGCGTTCTTGAATCCGCTCTATTTTTCTGCTGTCAGAAGATCTGCAGTTATACCATACCTGATGGCAATATGTTAAGTGAGGCAGGATACCTGATGGATGATTTGTAGATTATCATGATCGGTTTTGAATTGCATGGTATCAAACTTCGTAGTCTAAATAGTACATCAACTTTTTGACTTGCCTTATGCAAATGTGACTGATATTGTTGAAATTAAGCGTATATAGTTTTTTTCCTTTCTGTAAACAGTATAGCAACATCAAACGTCTTCAATAATATATGCAAGCGGAAAATTTAATTTTGCCAACGATTCAGTTTTGTTTACGGCTTTACTTATTTCTAGGGTTGAAAGGTGAGGACGTAGTCAAGCACTTAGGCAAACCACTTTTATCTCTATTCTTTTAGAACAGTTCAATTTACTTGTAGATATTTAAACTATAGTTTAGGTTTATGTGACTAACGAAATTCGGTGATTCTTACGCCTTCTCGTTAGTTGTGAAAGGTAGTTTGCATAAATGTAATACGTGCATGTTTTATTTACTACACCACAAAAGTTCTTCCATCATCCTCCTTGGGTTTTCTCCGACCCAGATGTAAAATCAGAGGAGCTCCTATGAATCGACGCGGGTAGCGCCGAGTTGGCTAAAATCATGTTATATCCAACAGTTAAAAAAAAAAGCGCGAGTGGAATAATTGTTTTATTAAAAACGCCAACAAAATGTCGAGAATTCTTCCCGACTTTATTTGCAAAAAATCCCGATTTTAGGCTTGTTTATATTTTTTTAGAATGGTACAATGGCTCATTTACTGATGGCTAAGCCAATCAGAGCTCCAATGATCCAGTTTGTTATACGTTGGTACTCTGTCGCTACACTGATGGTATTTAAAAACGGACGCAGAAATAAAAGCCTTGATAAATAAAAGAAAACTGTACTCTTGACGGACGTTGTCCTGTGACGTCTTAACTTGCTATAACTTATTGTATGGTATGCCCGGTAGGGGATACCCATACGGTATACCCGTTAGGGGATACCTATACGTTATCCTGTACGGGGTAATTTACAGCAGTGTTAATTTAGGTATCCAAATGATTGTGACGCCCCCCCTCCCCCCACCCCCTCCAATTTTCTAAGAAAAGAAACCCTCGGAACTAAGTACCACTTCCTCCTTCGATAAAAAAAGATATTTCGGTATTTAACTTTTTCAAAGAAATAGTTCATAGGGGCTTGTTATTTTTGTTTAAATCACCAGGAAAGTCTGAAAATAGTAGCTGCATTGGATAGATCGATATTGAGAGACTGTACGGGAAATTCTCTGTTAGGAGCGGACATAATGAGTTCAATTAATCTCTCTGATCTTACTTGTTAGGAAAAATAATGGACAAGATTTGTACGTACTATAAGACATTGTCTGTTATTGAAAGCTTTAATAACACATTGAAGCAAAGTACACTGACATGAAAAAAAAATATAACAAAGATGGTATAAACATAATGGGAAGGTTTGACAAGAATCTCTACGTTACAAGTAAAAACATTCCATTTTTTCCCCACTGTTTGAGAGATAATCTGGTCTGTCAAAGGGAAGGGAAAGAGGATATGGGCGCGTGGGAAGCACGAAGGGCGCGCGAGGAAGGAGGACGGGGGACACGTCTCTCGTCCCTTCTCCCGCACCTAAATTCACTTCCCTTCCCTTTCGAAAGCTGGCACGCAGGCCAGAGATAATCAAGTTATCCTATAATCATATTCATCTTTCCAGATAATTGTTATAAATTTTACAAGGTGCGATTTTTATCCTCAAAATTCTTATCCGATTTTAATAATGGTTTTGCCTCGAAGTGTTTAGTTACAAACTGGAAATCGTGCATTGATTGAAGATTTAATAGAAAGGAGAAGTGTGACGTCACGTTACCATGGTAGCAACATTTCTGGATGACAACAATAGGCAGTTTTTGCAACGGCGATGGCGAACAGCAAAAACACAAAAGGTAGAGATTGGCAAAAAAACATCTTTGCACGCGCATCACGCTTTTTTGTACAGTTCTTAGCCGTTGTTGCACGACTGCGACATGAAATTTCACGCGCCCGCTTTAAGGAGTTGGTGAGCACAACACAAACATTTTCTTTTTCTTTTTTAAATTTACATACAGTCTTTTCGGATTTAACCCAGAAAATTTCGCCATCATTTGACAAATAAAATGAAATTAAGTGAGATCGATGAAGTTTGAAACAGCGCGAATTCACTTTTTAAGTGACGTTTTCGTTTTTTTTGTCATCCAAAACGTTTGCTACCATGGCAACGTGACGTATCGACTTCTCCTCTCTATTCGCCATCATCATTTAATTAAATCGTTCTCTTCAGCAGTTTTTTTCTTTCGCTGAGATGAAAGATTATATTGTGGCCTTTACTTTGACTACATATTTATAGACTTCAAAAAATGAACGACAAAATTCTTACCCAAAGGAGAATGAGTTCCCCTGAGATATGCTATATTGATATATATCTCTCTTCCATAACGTATCACATAAAAAAAAGGATTGCCAGTCAATCGCTCTCTATCACAGCCATTTTTGTCTCGTCACCCAACGGGAAGGAGCGCTGCATGGCAAAACAAAACGGCTGTATGGGGGACCAAATCCCTACGAGATCAGATCAGCGGATTATTGTGTCGTCGCGAAAGGTACCTTCCCACAATGGAACTAAAGAGACGTTGGGTGACAAAACAAAAAATTGCTGCACAAAAGTGCACGAATAAGACTAACATGCCGACATAATAATACAAAATTATGTTTTTATACGACAAAAGTAACCATAAAGGGTCAAAAAGAAAATAACCAAAAACAATACTTTAGCATCTTGCGCTTTACAATCTATGTTTGTAGAATGCTATTTTAAGGAAATTAAAACAGCGCCAAAACTTAAGACTTCTCCTGTTAGGACTGGGGCCGAGATACCTCCTCAATCATTATCCGGGACACTGAATTCCACCCGGTCCAAGCATCACCCAAGCTGTAGCCACTACACTTTCCTACCCATAACTCCACTCTAACCGTCCCTTGTGGGATGTTTTCACAGTACCCCTCAAATGACCGATGATGCAACAGATTATTCCCTGTCCCAGATTGCCAGTTGTTGTAAACAATAGCCTCAATCGTCATTGGTCCACTGCATTCATTTCCATTGAACTTGAAATACCACCGGTTACACTTAATACTACCTTCGACCCTCATGTTTCCCTGGAATGAGACTCTGAGCGCTGAATTAGACTGCAGTTTGTTAAAAGCACAGTCCTGGAATAAAATCAAACAAATCAAACATATTGTAGTAAGGCGAGCAACCGTGTGTAATGATTGATACTAACAACTCCAGTCAAGATTACTTCCTAAGTTTTAAAAACTCTGTAGCTTAAATTTGTGTTATTCCATATGGCCAGGAATCATTTTATCACCCACGATGGTTTTCCTTTTTTTGTTCAAAGAGAATCAGATTATAGGGAAATATAACTTATTAGTTATTTATGTAATGTGTTGGGAAACGGTGAGTGAGAGGGGAGACGTTCTTCTTTGAAAGATTTAATTAAAAAAGGAATGAATTTTCTTAGGAGTGTGTTATGATTCGTATTCTATTTACCTTAATCTTTCCGTTATCAGTATCGCTGCCTGATTTCCACACACATTGTTTCCAGTTGGTTTGTGGTACTACACTTGCTTGACTTGCTTTGGCGCTTTCTCCTTTCTCTCCTTTGTTTCCTTTTCCTCCTGGATTTCCCACAATGCCTCGCTCTCCTTTAATTCCCGCAGCTCCTTGCTCTCCTTTCATTCCCGCAATGCCTTCCTCTCCTTTCATTCCCAGAAGTCCCTGTTCACCTTTCATTCCCTTTATTCCTCGGGGTCCACTCTTCCCAGGGGGTCCTTCGCGCCCTCTGTCTCCTCTTGGACCCGGCATTCCTTGTGATCCTTTATCACCAATTTCTCCTTTTACACCTTCTCTTCCCTGGGGTCCCTGTGGCCCCGGGACGCCCGGCACTCCCGGTATACCATTTGATCCTGGAATACCAGGAAAACCCAGCATAGATCGCTGAAATTAAAGTTAAGATGACTTGTAATAAGCACGAAAACGACACGGGATCTTAAATGACTTGGAGGGGCGGGGGGGGGTTTGGGGGGAGGAAATGTACTCCTGGGAATTCTTGGTGGGGATGTGCCGCCCAGTTCCCCAAATCCTGACTCAATTTCAGACCAAAACACGTCATTTTTTTACACCCCGTTTTCAGACTCTAAAATCCATACTAGTTTTCAGGCCTTGTCTCTAAGAAATTAGGCATGTCACCATTTCTTAGTTTAAGAACAGCAACGAAAAAGAATTCGAATAATTATTTCTCTTTCCTTCTCATTTGGAATTGAAACGATAAATACGTTCATACAAGCTCGTAGCTCCCTTGCAAACAATGATTTCAGACCAAAATGAGCAAAGTTTATACCCGCCAGCCGTCTCTCTTTGTTTTCAAGGCACGGAATGGACCTTGGAGATCATAATTCTCTTTAAAGCGTGCTCGTCTGAAATGGACTTGGATGGTATTGGAGAAAATAAACAATTAACAATGGACAGGCTCTCGGCTTTCAAAGAAAGATCATGCTGAAGCGAGGACTTTTAAATACTAACTGCCATACACTTTTAAAGGGTACTTTTTAGTAAATGATCATAACGACGTGAGAGTAATAAAACGGTTTCTGGGTATCCTAATCTAAGGCGTAGTACTCCTTTAATGTTTATGGATTTCTTACCTGGCATAAGTCTTGTAACTTTGAGGCGTCAGTTTGTTGCTGAGGTGAGGTGGTTGTTCCCAGTGAGCCGCCAAAAAAAGAGAGAATCAGGAAAACAGCGAAATACTGAACCATGGCGATGAGAACTGAACGAGAACACAGCGTTTACTGAAATCACTGCTACGTGTTCACCAATTAATATAGCAAATATTTTAAGTAAATCCTCTGTTCCTGTGTATTGTTTGTTTGTGTTTGCTTGGTTGTTTTTCCTTATATGGCAAGTTTTTTTTGCACCTTTTTATTCTCTGTTCATAAGCCCGTTTCACAGTACTGAAACAGGGTCAAAAGATGAACATTCCAAAAATAAATGGCAGAATATAAATTGTTACAAAAGTAGCAAAATTTTATGTATGCTATCACGATTTTGTGTTTCTAACGGTACCCGATCCCTTTCCAAAAATATAACTTTGCCTTCAGTCCAAGTTGGCTATGTTATGTCAGAAAAAGTAGCGGCTCCATTAAGCTCCAGCTCAGCAAGCTTTAACGTTTCCAGTGTTAGTGTGTTTATTTTTAAACTCCCATATCTTATATCTTGATGGCTGAGTGGGGGGGGGGGGGGGGGGGGGGGGGTGGGGTGGTGGTTCCCTATAATAATCTATACGGGGAGGCGCTGCCCAAAAGGGTACCTCTTTCAATTCAGGATAGACTATTCCACGTTATTTTCAACTTTTGACACGGACAAGCTAAAGAAACCAATGGAAAGAACGCCTTTAAATTAGAAAAATTGCCAAGTCTAAAAGTCGGATTGTTGAAAACTAACGAAGATATAGCTCCTCAATGACGCCAAATTTTACAGACGTTTGTATGGTGGGGGTCGGGCACAAACTTGCCCCCCCACCCTCCCCACCCTCCACGTACGAACGTCTGTCTATTTTTCAACTTTGCCGAGCTATATATTTGCACGCTTAAGACGTATCACTTTCTCATTTGGCAATGTTACAGCCACTGAAATTAAAATTAAACTTCTGTTAGTACTAGATATGTGTCAGAGGCCGTGACAGAGAAAAGGATCTCCTTCCTCTACTGCTGTGACGTTAGTGAGATGATTGTTTTCACAAAAAATTAATAAAATAAAATAAAACAAGAACGAACAAAAGCCTAGCACAATTTTTTCACGGCCATGAAGCCACAGATTCGAGTTATTTCCAGTCCTGTTAAACCTTGCTCACTCTTTGCTGTCGCTTAAAAGCCGTGGGATTGTACACCTTCTTAAGGGGTCATTCAGCGGGAATGCGAAAAAACGGAGAGGCTTTAGTAACTGAGGGGGCGTATAGATGGCATAGAAATAAGCTGTAGCATTGCTGATCAAAATACATTTTTGCAATTACTGCTCGTTAATTAAGGCTTCAAAACGTCATTTTAAATCGACTTCAATTTAGTTCAAGCAAGAGGGCAGCGTGTTATTTTCGGTGGGGCTTATATTCGGACGTTTTTTTTTTGTTGTTGTTGTTGTCTACAGCCATGATATCGGCCCATAATTGAAGAGGAGGGCCAATAAGTCAAGGCGCTTATTCGCCACTTTGACTGGGCCAAGATGTTTGTCAAGTGCATTGTGTGACTTTTGGGGGGACGCGTTTTCAACAGTGGCGAATAAGCGGCAGTTTACGGTGTTTCACGGCATTGGTCCAGATTTTCAGACCCAGAGGAAAAAGAGCAAACTGTTCTTCACTAACGCGCTAACAAGTGCGTTCGTGTACAACGTGACATTCATAGAGCGGTTACAGAGCTGAGTGTTATTTTAATAGAAGGATTTATCTCTAAATTTCTACATGTATAGTGAACAATATTATTTTCAGGGTTTCCGGTAACTCGTCTTGGCAGAGACCTCATTCCTTTCATCCCGCGCTGAATCGATCGTCCCCGTCTTTTTACTTCCTAAATTCTTGGCTACTACAGCTAAAAGAACGGTAACTTCCATAAAAAAGCGTACATTCAGTCGTAGACAGGGTTTACAGATGTTAAAATCTCAAGTAAAACGTTCTGGTTTCGTGATTTTCCTCTTTCATATTTAAAAGAGTGCATTTATACCAGCAAAAAAAAGGGATGTAAAGTTCTAAACGAGGTATGTTGAAAGAGGCCATTTGTCAATGGAAAGTATAGGAAAGGGTATCTTGTCTGTCAAAAATGGTACGTAAAAGGGTTAAGGGGTTGGACCTCGGGGGGGAAGCCTCCCATGTAAAACTTAGTCAAGACCCCCCCCCTCCCCGGCCATTATGATCTATGGAGTCAGTAAATAGGGGAATGTGGAACGTGACCTTCCTTTTTGCCACCCATACTTGCTGCAAAACAATTGCGAGACGTTTATGTTGCAGGCAGCTTCCTTCCCGAGCGATAACAAAACTGTGAGTCAAGTAGTACATAACATAATGGGGCTTACGCAGCAACGGCTGAGGAAGTTTTCCTTACTAAGGAAAACTTGCTCTTTTGAAGGGTTTAAGCCGGTTTTCACGCTATGATTTTTCCAAAGAAAAACGAAAAGATTAAAACTGGCTGAAAACTGGATAGATTAAAATAATCTGTTGCACCACCATATATTTTCTTTGGAAATAAATCGAGCATACAATCGACGTTTGTAAACCAGCTCTTAAATAGCAAAACAAACAAGGAAAATGGATACAAATATTTTTATACATTTTATTACTATTTTCTATTCACCTAAGTCGTGCAATGCGAACGCCCAAAGACAAGTTTTATTTTCTCTTTTTATAAAACTCAGACCCATTTTGTACGGTCTGGCATGTTTTCCACTCGCTAATCTCATAACCACAAATGTACATGAATTATTTTAGGGTACAAGCTCACCTGACATATAATTAATTTTAGTAGCATCAGAGTGGCGCCCCGCCATATGACCACCTCGTCATTACGACCATATTATCTCCATTCAAACGTAGAAATCAGACTTATTTTAGTTTTTATTTTTTTCGAAAATCACCCGTTAATATCCGACCACCTCATTTTTACGACTAAACGGCCCAACGGTGGTCACATTAACGGGGTTCCATTGTAGTTAATTGCTTTATGGCTTCCATTTGAGGATCGAGACTGAACTTCACTGAGCTGAAACACGGCTAATCGAGTAACAATGCGCTTAACATCAAGTGCATTCTGCACTTGAATATAAATATTTTTAACTTTTACTGTAAAGCCATACTTAACCGCTTTAAATAACGCATTCACATGTATATCATAGTCATTAAAATTAAATACAAGAATAGTTACGAATAAATAAGAACTTGTTTAAATAATTAACACTGTTTAGACTTGTTTCCTTCGTTAAGGCTCTTTTAAAAAACCAAGACACCAAGATGCCGAAAAACAAAGGACATTACTAAATAAAGTCCTTCTAAATGCATTTACAGACATAATAGTCTGTTTACTTTTAAAAGCTACTTCATTATATAACTAACAGAAAAACATTTAATTATTCAGTCCTCTGCACTAGATTAGCTTTCCACTACAATATCCGCTTTATCCGCAGGGTCTTCGTCAAACTGCGACCTTTTTAATCCAAGAAATCTTAGAGCATTTCCGCCTAACAATTTATCCTACAACAAGAGATGAATTTTTAATTAAAAGGTTTTTATCTGAAGTTAGACTATTCAAAGTCCCCTATTTCTTCGTAAGATCGACAGGATAGAGCGCTAGCTTAATGGAACGGACGGTTATCTTGGTTTTTAACCAAAGGAGCGGGAGTCGGGCTTTACCTATCCAAGATGGCCGCCCGTAACGCCCGACGATCTTACGGAAAAATAGGGGACTGCCAATCGAATGATGAACGGGAGATTTGATGATGGGCAAATGCACTCCGCTAGCAGTTACACAACCTATTTTCCAAAATAACAGGGAATTAACTCCACTAATAATTGTTGAATAACTGTTGAATTGCCAAGTACATGTAGAACCTACTAAAGCAGGGTAGGACTAAACCTCTTGTAGAGAGAATTGGCGGGGGCGGGAGGGGGTGGGGGTGGAGATTATGCAGGATTCAAAGGGATGGGAATGAGCGAATTGGGACAAAAGTCAAAACCTGGGGAGAGGGGTGAGGCATATTTCTCTTTCGTACAGGGGAACCCCGATATAACGAAGTCCTCGGTATAACAAACGATATTTTCTGCCCCAGTTACAGTATAATGTATGGAAAAGAACCTCGATATAACCAAACCGTAATCGAGGTTCCACTGTAATCAAGCGATACCAATGTTAAAAGAGAGGAGAAATGTGACGTCATGTTACCATGGTAGCAAAATTTCTGGATCACAACAATAAGGAGTTAAAGCAACGACGACGACGGCGTTTTACCAATGGCAAAAAAAAAAAAAAAAAAAAAACCGTGAAACTGAATGTGATTGTTCTTTTACCCTAAGTTCCAGGTCGTCTTTGTACACATCCTCGATGAGTTTTCCTGGATGATGTTCTCCGAGAGAAAACGGGTAGTCACTGCCTAAAATAACATTCTCCTGCAAAAAAACAAAATACACTTGCAAGATATTGAGCTCACGCTTGCTGCAATGAGAAAATTGGGAACTTGAAGGTTTATTTATTTATTTGTCTCAGTGTTATGTCTGTCCATGGACAAGTGCGCTTCGCACACAAACGAAAATTGTTGAAGACACAACTTTAATGGGGACTCAGGCTCGTTACTTGATCAACACAACAAATCACAATCTTATCATGGCTTACTAAAACTTCAGCTTGTCAGTAAACTGAACCTACGCAAAAGAAAAACTAAATCACTGTCGGGGTGGAAATTGAGATGTAGGAAGTCTGAAAAATTTACCATACGATGAGAAATTCTCACCACAGCGTTACAGGTAATTAAGCACATCGTTTGTTTCACGACGTTTTCACAACGAAAGATTCGATGATTCGAAACAAAATTGTTACTGCTGCTTATCCAGTTTCCGTACATTTTAAAAGACTCTTAATTGATAAATGGATTAGATATATCAGTTATAGTGCCATTAAATAACGGTAAAAACGAAACGCGAACTGTAGCAGTTATACATATACAAGCAAATAAGCCATAACTGTCTTAAATAGCAAGTCGCATCTTTGTTACGATGAGAATTAACCTTTAAGCCCCAATATCTACATACAAATTCTCCAAACTGATCATTTTATCAACTGTCATAACCATTTCCCTTGATAGTGCTGATATTGTTAGGAGAAAGTTCATGTTGGTCACTCTTATGACTTATAGGGTTAAGTCATTCTACATCCCATGATATGACACATTTTGTCTGTTTATTAAGGGGGCTAAGCCATTTTAGGTCAATTCTGAGCTGACCTTATTACTTAATGCTTTTGCTCATACACAAAATGCTCCTTTAGAGTGATGAAGAAAATATAAATCAAACAAATTTCATCAGGGAGCACTAACGAGAATACTTTTCTAGTGATTTTTGCTGGCATGGCATCAAAACTAAGTTTCAATCCACATACATCCTTGCCGTTCGTAGAAACAGTCGACAGGGAAACAGAATATAGTCTGAAAAAACAAACGTGGACCGTTATTTTTAGAATTCAATTGATGCAAAGACAAACGACAAACTGAAACGATAGCAATAGCGTGACATAACCCATTTTAAGGACAGGTCTTGTTAATTTTTGCTCGCATAAAATTCACTGTTTGTTTCTGAAATAGATCATAACCAACAAGTCACTGAACTCTTTACCTGACCAATAGTGTCAACCAGTAATTTAAGAGCTTTTTCATCATGGACAAGACTATCTGTGTAAATTTGACCAATGTACTTTCTGCAACATTCAATATTATAACGAATGATTCATTATTTTAAGGTTCTGTTTGTAGTCTAGAAAGTATTGTGAGATTATAAAGAATACATCTAACAAAATCAATTAAACACTGCTACAGTACACAGCAAACACGCACAGAGACTGTTGGATGCGACAAAAGGGGCGGTCTTAGGCCCGGTTCAGACGCCGAACTTTTCATGAGCCGAACCTAACGCGAATTAAGGTCGACCCAAATTATTTAGACCAGCTCATTTGATTCAGAGGCTAGAAGTACTCATTTCAGTCAAACTGCTTAAAAAATACGTTATAATAATTTATGCGTCTGAATCAAAGCCGTTCCAAAGTCGCGACCAAAGGCGAAATTCCCGGCCGGGGTAGGCGAAAAGAACGGCTGAGCCGTTCCAAATTGAAACAGGCGTTCCTAATTCTTTCATGACGCCAAACTTTCATGTACTTTATTCAATGTATTAGCCCGGGGGGGTACTTGAGGAATTTCTAGGTGGGGATGTGCCGCTGGGACCCTGAAACCCTTAACCTATACCAGAGCTAGTTCAGCTGAATTTTGCTACCCTATACTAGAGTAAACTCCCCAAATCCCCCCTATCCTAGAGTAGCTGTTTCCCTAGTCTAGATAAAATCTTCAACCAGCTGATCAGTTTCCTGAAAAATGATACCCTATTCTAGACCCAAACGCTCTGATTTATATACCCTATGCTAAAGTAAACTGCTTGAAAACCATACCCTTCACAGCGGCACATACCTATATAGCCCATATATTGCAGTACCGCCCCCGCCCCCCGGGTGTATTAGGTTCGGCTCTTAAAAAGTTCGGCGTCATGAGTCGTTTCGATAACGTCCTCTTCGTTAAGGTCGTTTTGCAAACTTGTTAGGTCAGTTCCCTAACTGCTCTCGCCTGATCAGTGGCTACGGAACAACCTGTACATGTGTGTACTGGCTGAAAGAACGAGGTATATGAATGAGAAGTGCTCGTTTACTTCCTTAAGCGAAACGACTGAAGACGTTAACGATAGGGACGTTAGCGAAACGAGTCGTAGGCGAAATGACCGGTCACCGTCTTAGATAGGCGTTTATACCTTCAAGAGCGGGTAACCGGTCGTTTCCATACGAACTTAAGCAGTGAAACTGCACACAAATTTTGATCACTTTAAATAGTTTGCGCGAGAACAAGAAAAACAGACTGGGTGAATATTCTTCATTTTTTTTTAAGCCAAGTACGTTAAACTATTTACAACTTGACTGAATAAACTTGTAACGAAACGACCGATAACAGAGAGCCACGAAAAATGGCTGAACAGCTCCACGAGTCCTGCTTAAAGAAATAGCCATCTTATAGACAGTGACTGAGGAACAAAAGGGACCAACTCTAGGTGTCCTTTTTGAGGGATAACCACCCAAGAGTCAGAGAAAATGGCTGAAGAATGGTAGAGATGTGTCCTTCTTAAAAAGAGGTATCCACCTTACAGATGGTCAAAGATAGTGACGAAAGAATGGTGAAGACAGAAAAGAAGTCGAAAGAAGACAAACAAGGATTTGAGCACATACCGTATTGACTCGATTAAGCACCCCTTATTATATTTTTGGACCTTGAGAGGAGGCGCTTTTTGGAGGCTGGGCGATTATTAAATAGAACAAAACGAAAAGAATGATGTTCTTGATGTTCCTAAGCAGAATTAGTGTAGTTTAGTGTAGTGTAGTATATTATAGTGTGGTATAGCTTTTTTTGCACCTTACTCTCCAAAGGGAGGCATGATTGCATATTGGTCGAGTTACAATAAAGGTTTTATATTCACTACGACAATAAATTAACTAAAACATGAACGGAGACAACAAAGAATAAATATTATGTCTGACTATTCCCATGTCTTGCAATCACTTGGTGATTGCAGAAGTCCAGCCATAAGTTATTGATTAACAAAGGATGGAAAGTTACGATGTAGGAGTGAACTGACCTTGGATTTACTGGATTCTCAACAGCACAGAGATCAGGTCTGACATCAAAGCCATGTTCAATACGACCGATAGTGAATGGAAATGCCCCTCCTGCAAGAAAACATTAAAAAAAAAAAAGAAAGAAAAAAATACATATGAAGGAAAAAAAAGGCTCACTTTGTATAGAAGATATTCTTTAAAAGTGATCATCCTACAAGAGTATAGCCTGCGTAGCTGGCGGAATAGACCTTTTTAGCTTGTATACTTTGTTTTCCTAATTCAAACCACGGGATGTTCGCCAAGGAATTTCAGTAATCATGCATACATATGCACGTGGATTCACGTGCATAAGACAACATTTGAAAGAAAAAGTTGTCTGGGGCATCATTATGTTGTCTGAAATGGGAAAACAAAACAAACAAGCTAAAAAGTCTTTTGTTTTTGCGTGCATGCAAGTTTTGGCGGCGCGAAGCCGCCACTCTCGCGGCTCAACCACAAAAAAAAAAAAAATGTGTCTCATTCGCATTCTCCGCACGTTGCGTGAATGATCCCGCCGGCTACGCAGACTAAGGGCCTGTTTACATGGAGGTGGGGGACCCCAGGTAGATAAGGTAACTGGCTTAGGTGGGGTAGCCCGCCTGTCCATATAATCTCTCATTTTAATTTAAACATGTGTACATGATAGGTGGGTTACCGGCCACATGTTATCTCACCTATTTGGGTTCCCTTACCTCCATGTAAACAAGCCCTAACAAGAGTTACAATGTTATGTACATGTACGAGCATGTGATAAGGCAAAAAATGTGCTTGATAAAATTATTGTATACCTCCATGAGCAAAACACACTTTGAGTCTTGGATATCGTTCCAGAACACCACCAAAGATCATGCAACAGATCGCCTGTGCAGTTTCAGCAGGCATTCCTGCAAAAGCAACAAGGTCAAGTTTACCCCTGAAACCCTAACACTAACATGCATAATATACATTATTTAAAATATTATATTTTTAAAAATCTATTAAAGGCTGGGGAGAGGTCAAAGGTCAAGGTAACAGTGCTTTACGTCGGTGACAGTACTCGAGTCATCAGAATGACAAACCTGATGCCGGCGGTGCTCTATTTTACCCCCTTCTCTGAATCAGTGACTCGTTTTACAGTTATTAAAAAGGATTTCGAAATGACCTCTGGGTTCAAACCTTTCAAAATTTTAACTTGTGTTGAAGATTCCATAAAATTGGGTTTCATTCAGACAAAACCTTCCACTGCACAAGCCATCCACTTCAAGATGTACATTAGGAAGTAAATTTTGAATGGTTCCCTTGAAAAATCTCCAGCCTTGCAACAGAGTTATATGCTTCAGGGTTATAAGGTTCTGGCACAATACATTTACTTATCAACAAGCCAAGGCAACCAGTACTTGGACATTCTTCCTCCTAACTCCATATCCCATGGATGAACAAAGATAGCACAGCCTAATTCTTCAGCAGCCTACATGTAATAGACATGATGAGAAATGCAATGTAGAAGCATATTCAGGATGTCAGGGAGAATGGGTGCGGAGTGCAGGTTATGTTACAGGTCAAATTTGATTTGAAGTTAAAGTTTTTAAACCAAGATTATTCTCACTTTTCTTTGAGGACCGTGTGAACCAATGTACATGAGATTAAAGGCAAATTAACCTGCTAGATAATGATATAAAAATGTGGTACACTGTCTTGGACTATATATCATGTCATCTCCCTTGGCCTTGTTTAGACCTACATATGCTACCAGCATGCAAAGAAAGTCATGTGCGATAGCCCGGGGCTAGTGGATTTTGTCATCGGGCTAGTGATTTTTGTTTTTAACTTGCCCAATGGACAAGTGCTGTTTTTCAGGGAAATTCATATTACAGAAGGATTGCATTCAATCCTGCTAATCAAAAAGGGTTTTATTTGGGGCTAGTTGAAATGACTTGTGGGCCAGTAAATGCTAGCTACGGCTTGCCCCAATGGCAGGCTGTAAAACTGACTTTCTCTGCACCCTGGTGCTACATAGTACAGATGAGCAAGTGAAATAAGACCATAAATGTATGATGTATATGAAGGCATATGGTGGCTCTGACACTAAATGCAGGCATTGCTAACATTTTCATGAGACGGAATGCACTGATAAATAGAGGATATTACATGGCCGCGCTGAGATACGAAATTTCTCTTTGAGTGTCGAAAATATTTCACGAGTGAGCGCAGTGAACAAGTGAAATACTTTTTCAACACCTCTATTAAAGGGGTAAACAGGGTATACAGTATTACTAGGGTAAACATAGGTATAGAGGATATATAGGGGTATACGGGGTATACAGTATTACTAAGGTAAACATGGGTACACAGGATATATAGGGGTATACAGGGTAAACAGCATTACTGGGTAAACATGGGTACACAGGATATATAGGGGTATACAGGGTATACAGTATTACTAGGGTAAACATGGGTACGCAGGATATATAGGGGTATACAGGGCATACAGTATTACTAGGGTAAACATGGGGACACAGGATATATAGGGGTATACGGGGTATACAGTATTACTAGGGTAAACATGAGTACACAGGATATATAGGGGTATACAGGGTAAACAGTATTACTAGGGTAAACATAGTTATAGAGGATTTATAGGGGTATACGGAGTATACAGTATTACTAAGGTAAACATAGGTATAGAGGATATATAGGGGTATACGGGGTAAACAGCATTACTGGGATAAACATGGGTACACAGGATATATAGGGGTATACAGTATTACTAGGGTAAACATGAGTACACAGGATATATAGGGGTATACAGGGTAAACAGCATTACTAGGGTAAACATAGTTATAGAGAATTTATAGGGGTATACGGAGTATACAGTATTACTAAGGTAAACATAGGTATAGAGGATATATAGGGGTATACGGGGTAAACAGCATTACTGGGATAAACATGGGTACACAGGATATATAGGGGTGTACAGGGTATACAGTATTACTAGGGTAAATATGGGTACACAGGATATATAGGGGTATACAGGGTATACAGTGTTACTAGGGTAAACATGGGTACACATAAGATATATAGTGGTATACAAGGTATAAGAGATAACATATGAGGGAGTCTATATGGAGACTGCCATGAATTACTTGCCTTGTTGAAAGAGCAAATGATTATCCCTGTTCAAAAAACGTTAAACAACGCTGCTCATATCGACGCAAAATTGATCCATTTTTTGAAATTTGCCGAAAAAAATCCAGCGAAATCGGCTATTTTTTACGGATTGTTTCTTGGCGAAGTTTCCCCCTGAAATTTCCCTTGAAAACGGCCGATTTTTCTAAGAATTTGCCCCTGAAAATCCTTCGAAATGTGACTTTTTTCCGCTAAAATCCCGCGGAATCGGCCGATTTTTCTGCGAATTTTGACTTAGATTGTTCACATTCCCCTATTTTTTCACGAGATATACCGCGTCTTACCGTCACCGGTATCTTGATTTCGTGAGATATACCGCGTCTTACCGTCACCGGTATCTTGATTTTCAAATGCCCGTAACGCAAAGCGCTCGATTTCGATGATCTTACGGAAGAATAGAGGACTGTGAACAGTCTAATTTTGACTTTTTTGCCGCGAAATCGGCCTATTTTTCCGCGAATTTGGACTTTTTTCCCGCCAAAAATCCCGCGAAATCGGCCGATTTTTCCGCGAATTTTCCCCTGAAAATCCCGCGAAATTTTGCTTTTTTTTCCGCGAAATATCAGAAGTCCTGAATTGAAAGGTATATCAAAATTAGTTGTCTGGTAAAACTTTAGATTTTCAAAAACAGTATAGCACTGCTAAACAGTAAAATCTTTCAGAAAAAAATACAAGTAAAAAGTTAGTTATAAATATTACAATAATAATTCATTACAATTTGACAAATGTATTAGGCCTGGCGCACGCTACTTAATGTGTACATGGCTAAAAATCTCACATCATTATGTTTTGATTTTTTATTTTTTTTTTTTACATTGAAAATTTTCTCCACAGAGGTCAGTGATCTTATGAGTACTAACTGCATTTAATAAACATATACTGAACATAATCACAAAACAACAAAGTTTAGGACGTTTCCAGAAAGATGTTCTGTCTCTATCCGATCGATCTCTGTGCAGCCTGACATTAATTTGAAAATTTGGTTTTGATTGACCCCCTTTTGTTGTTAAGAGGATAAATAATAATTTTTGGAATGCTCATAAGTTAAACCTTCCCTATAGACTAGCTGTTAAAGCTTCGGGAAACCCCATAATTTTTTATGCTAAGATCAAATATCTAAGATTGGAAAGCATTTTTTAATGTGAAAATTCACCAGGGGGAGGAGGGGGTACTCCTGGGAATTCTTGGTGGGTGGGTGCCGCTGGTTCTCCAAATCCTCACCAAAAAAATGTCATTTTCCAAACCTGTTTTCAGACCAGACCTCTAAAACCCATACCCGTTTTCAGAACTGGCCTTTAGGCAGAAATTGTGTTTATATCATTACTTAGATTATAACGCAAAGTAAAAAATTCTTCAAATCCATTCTGAATTCACATTTCTCGTTCTTTCTTACTCAACTGGAATTGAAACGATAAGTACGTTCAAATGAGTCAGCGCAAGTGATACTTGATTTTGATAATTAAAACATGTTGAATAAACTCGAATCGGCTGTCTAGCTTTGTGAACGTATTAATAAGTTAAAATTGCCTCGATGGCTAACTTATAACATGACGTTTGGAGTTTAAGATAAACTGGTTTGCAAGGCTCCATGTAAAATGACAACTGTAGATAGTCTACTTAGCTTTTTAAAGTTCGCTGAACGAACCATTTGCAACCGTTTGAATTAAATTAAGAGTAGTTTAAAAACCTGTGAAAGTTTTTTTCTAGATGAAGTTGAAATTGCTATGTTTGATGTAACACTATGACAACTGTAGACAGTCTCTACTGAGGTTGTTATTATATTAGATCATTGATTGAATTATTTGAAACTTACAGACTCGTTATGATTTTTAAGTGTGGGGATTAAGTTATTTTTATCTGGATCGAGTACAATTGGAGTCTAAAGTT